GCAAATAATGAACTAATATCACTAACAGACCCAGTCACCATTGACGACACGAAAATAGGGCCGTCGCCGTCGCCGCCGTCGCCGTCGCCGCCGCCGCCGCCGCCGCCACAGACAGCTAGCTAAAGAGGCGAAACAAACGAATGGCTTAAGAGAAAGAGGGAATGCTATGATCGTGCTAAGCGACCGCCGTCGTGAAACTTGGGATTGCTTTGTTCAACCACAGTTTACTTGGCTTGTCTGTTGGGTTCTTATTGAACGATTTTTCTCGAGGGAGAAACGCATGGGACGGGGGCTCGAGAGAGAGAGAGAGAGAGAGAGAGAGAGAGAGAGAGAGAGAGAGAGAAACAGTGGCTAGATGTGCGAGAGAACGGAGACGGCTCCGAACTAGAGCGCGCATGGACACAGCACTTCGAGACCGCATCGAACAACACATGTACAAGTAAATGCAGGATTGTTTACGGGACAATTCGGCTCTCTCGTGATCAATTCGTTCGCTAGAAGACACTGACTCGTACGTGCTAGCAGTAGCAGATGCTGGGTAGTAACTGGCAACTGGAAGTAGCAGCCGTTAGTTACAGAAGTAACAAGTCGTCTCACCTTTTTGGTCAAAGAACTCGACTGCTCGCTGACTAAACATATCCGTGTGCGTGTGTATATATATGCGTACTAGTAGTGGATGGTCGGGTGTGGAATAAAAGAGCGCGGGGGAATCTTCTTATAGGGCGCACGGAACAAATGGGGCAACATGGAGCTAGGTATACGTCGCCTTTACATCTGATAAGAGGAGCTTTCAATTATATTTGAGCGGTAGAGACGAGGAAATTCCATGGGACTAATAGATCGATTATACAGGTTCAGAGACAACGCAACGGGTGACGTGCATCCCTTGCTAAACTTAGAGACACGTGATCGAATCGGCGCGTAGGCAAGCTCCTTTTGACGCTGGAAATCAGCCGTCCGAAGTAACGCCTAACGAACCAAGCGACTGATGAATTATCTAGCCGGCAAAGAGTTGAATAATACTCATACAGAAACTTGTTCGTCTGAGTATCCCGCCCGGGTATTTCGGCAGCAGACAAAGACAAAGAGTTAGTAAAATCGCTTGTCGGACTACGTCCAGCAAATATCCATGTGGGTGAAATAAAACGTTCGACACAGAGAGCGGAACAGTTGTTTCCTTCGTTGTTTACGTGGCATTTTATGCAATCGTCTCCTAAATAACATCGAGTACTGATGAAACAATAGCGTTTATATTACGGAATCGTTACACGATGTAGTGAACAGATGCTATCACAGCACAATAGGGCCCGTTCGTTTCCAGGACTAACCTAGGCACATTTGAATTATCGATTGTCAAAAAAATGGAAAGACACCCGAACGGAACAATACGTCGCGGGACGATACCGCCTACCCAAGCCAACCTTCTGCGGTTACCCACCTAGTGCTAGAAAAATAGTTTTTCGGCATTTTTGAAACAAAACACATCTCCATAAGAAGATAAACAGTATCAGTTTATAATATATGCATGCAGGTCCGTCCGTCCGTCCAATATCGCATAACAGACGCGAATAGCCGTAGGTTACAAGTCGTTACGAAACGTTTTTCCTCGGTAAACGTTTAGGGTTCAAGCATTGTCTTAGACAAATTCGCATTTCTGTGTGAAAATGATACAACTTAGTGTTAACGGACGATATCCAGATTTCCCTGCCCATAGCTTAATCGCTTGCTCTCGTATCGGTGTCTGAGCTATGACATGATTGTACTCTAGAAGAACTAAACAATGAACAAATACAGCGTTTGTTATAGAAAACAGCTGAATCATCTGCCGAGGACGGGACGAAACAGGTTAAGTTATAAATGGCAGTAGCCTTCGGCCTGAATGATCGCTTGTCTCCTCTTTTCAAATAGTAAAGGATACACAATACATTTAATGGCGCCGACTACTTAGCCTTAACAAAACTAGTATTGCCTAGCTATATTTGTTATACATACAAGACGGGTATTCGCCATATGCCAAAGTTCAATGGGCGGTTCATATAAGTGCCGAATGACGCAAAAATATATATATATACGACTCAATCTGTGCCATCGAGACATCGATGTAAGTTAGTGACCATTCGGAATCTGGGCAATGCAACGACGACCGCTCAGCCGCCAATGGAAAATTTAAAAAACGGTACCTAAAATATATTTGCCATCGATGTCCCAAAGACTGCTGAGTCGTTATGAATCCACGGCATAGTAGAAACAGGGTGGGATTAAACACCCTAACGTTTCGAAGGGTTCATTCCGCTGCTACGGCTGGCTACACAATTTCGTTTAGCCTACTTAGATGGTTTCATAATCATCAATGTGATTTGCATTTTTTTTATCATTCGTTTTTGTAATCTATTTATTTCAAAAAAACGTACGGAAAATTAGAGCAGCTTGCAATAAGCTCAACGTGGGCGCAGTTTGGATTGCGTCGTTGTAAAGCCGAAGGCTTTGGGAGTAGGTCAAAGGGTTGATGGCGACTTCGACGAACACTTTATAATCTGCTAATTATATCCATTGACAGATATATTCGTTACTAGATGCGACCGAACGCAGGCCGTTCAGGCGCAAAGTTCATTGCTAAACGCGTTGGCACTTTCCTGTAGTTGATCCATAGAGCATAGAACAATTTTCGCATAAAACTGAGCTATGTAGTGTCTTTCAGGGTATTCCTAAGAAGCCCCAAAGCTTCATATGTCTCGCAGCTTATTTTTGAGCACAATCATAGGAACAAAGAATGCGTATGGTTGTTTCGCCTTTCCCTCATATTCACGTCCGCCCCGCCACTCCCCTTCGCCGGTGGGTAGTATCGTCACCCTAGTCACTTTCCTACAAATCTGATTCGGATCTGTTCATAGGATGCTGCTCAATCGGGTTCCGATCGCTTCGAATCGATCTTAACCGAAATCGCATCGATCGAAATTTCTCTGCTTCAAGCATCTAGCAGAAATTAACAGGATCAGGAACCGTAGTAACAATCCAGTAGGCCATATCATGAGGCAAAATCACAGGTAAACCGAAAAACAAGTGGATTATACAGTGGTCGACATTTGGCGACGACGAATTTATGACGCCGGTCCGCCGACGCAGGTATGAGCCAGCTGTCGCCACCTCGATATGGTTAGTTCGCATCCTTGTCAATGCGTATACATCTACCTCTATGGCTGTTTTGTCTATAGACAGATGTCGATAAGTCGACTCAACGACAGCTTCACTGCCAATATTTGGCCGCTATTTGTCCTACTTCTTACGGTATGACACCGATGCTGGAAATAATAATCGTGCAGAAAACAGTAGTTAATAGCGTCTGTCTTCGAGCTATTACAATGCTGGCACAGTAGTCCCTCGTTGAATGTGAGGGCACAGGTTTATTCAGGCTCAATCGAAGCTGAAGTCGAGGAAAAACAGCCACCGATACGAAACCAGCCGTCATCGCGAAACAGTTATGATAAAGCAGCGATAGTAAAGCGCAAAGAGATGACACACGGTATATAATATTACGTAATATAAGCATCGTCGGACTATATTTATAAAGACAACGACAGCAGAAATATTATGTAGTGAGAAGTATAATGCTTGATTACGCACTTGTATCGGGACCATCAGTGTAAGTAATACGTACATGGGTTTATCAACGTCCTACCGCAGTTGTATCTATTATATTTCGGCGTTAGCTTGTTTGCTACGAGAGGCGTAACAGGCAGCACAGGAGACCAATGTGACGTTACTTTAAATCGTTTCCATCCGCTCATCCAAGGGAGCAAAGAAGTAGCTGTTATATCGTTACATCGATAATTTTGATTGATCCCCAGTCGTAATTGTCTACTAAATCACCGCTGATTGAACGGGCTATTCATACCGGATGCCCATGTAAAGAATTCAGCCAGCTGTATGTAGCGTTTCGAAGAAACAAAAAACAAAAATAGAACACAAAATCCTTTTTGTTGCTGTCGACAGCAGTATGGAGAGAATGCCCTTAACATCGAAGCCTATTTTTCGGACGCCGTCTTGTTAATTCAGAAAGATTGGCGCATGCTCGGTTACAGCACTCGATGAAGCTACTAAAAAAATCGAATCTTTGTACGAAGTAAAGAAGAACTCCCTTGTGAGAGATATCTAAATGTAGCGCATTGGTAAGCGTAGCTGCTATGTGCTCGTTGGACAAAGAGCAGGACTCTAATGTCCTTTGCTAACCGCCCTCGCATCTCACCCGAGCACCGGATGGTAATTACGGCATAATCGCTGCTTCTAGATAAATGCCATTTAATAGCAGCATCAATAGTGTAAGGTCACTCGACCTTTTAGCCTGACAAGCACACAAACTGTGAGAAAGATTTCACCATTTCTTGATCAAATCTAAGCAAGCTCATTGCCGTAGTAATAACTTAACAGGTTTACAATCGTTAGGGGAGCGCCAAAACCCTACACATTTACTAAGAGATAAAAACACTGAGCCGACCAACCGCGCGAGCGTATTTCGACAGCGTCAGCAAGCACAATTAAAAAAATCCCGGGTTACGAATTTCAAATAAATTGCGGCTCACGACGACAGCGGACGGTGACTACTGGGCCACATGATCAAATCACCCGCGGCTAGGGACAAACCGTCGTCAGTCGAACGATGGCCGTTCAGTAAAACGACACTCTGAGAGCGAAAAAGTATTACTTCAGTCAGCTCCCTAATGACAATCTACTTGTATCTATCATGCCAGAGTCTACTACTGCTTCACCGCTATGGAGCGGGGGCGTGAGATTCACTAATAGCAAGCAATATCAAAGGGGCATAGAGAGAGAGAGAGAGAGAGCGCGCTTCGAATTACCTGAAGAAAGCAGCGTGTTGTGTCTACACGAAATGTTTTTTCTCGTTTCGAACGTTGAGATGTATGTATGTATGTATGTATTTGCGGAACCTGAACAGGACGATGTGCACTAATAAACAATAAGACGTTCGTATAGTAGATACTCACGCTTACACTGCCATAGACTGTTTTAGAGGCACCACTATGCACGACCAATGTGAACAGGTAGAACTACAACAAGCGTTCACGCTCATACAATATTTCACACGTCTCACTTACTCTTAATCTCACCTAGGTCTCAGTAATAAGTGTCTAGCTAGTTGCAGTGATTATTAGGGTGTATAGTAGTGGGCAGTACGTTGCCTCTTCTAGCAGGAGATTTCGTCCTTTGCACAAATCATCCGCGAAAGTGAAACGTCGTGTATAACGATTCGTTAATGAACACTACGAGTGTTTCACACCGTAACCGCACTATGCTAACAGAGCAGAGTAGCTGCCGTTACGCCGTAGAATACAGCGAAGGCCCCCCTGAACGTTTCAGTTCCGTCGATACCTTCAACGTCTTTCTCTTATGTTTTTCAACCTGGCCAGTCACGACAAATATTCTATGCTGATATTGTAATCGACACTGCACACCCACTCTTCTTACATTACGCACAAATCGACAAACCTCACTAATGACGCATCACTCGCACAAGTTTCTCTGCGTGTCACCACTACCACTGCCAGCCCGTGTTCTTGCTGTTACCGTTAATGCTGGCAGCGATCTATAATGCCTTAATCTGATTGTTGCGCTCGCTGGTGATCGTTTGCTTCCTTCAGCGTACGCTGCTGGCGAATGTAGGCAGCTAGGCGATCTTCCTTCTTCTTCACCTTCCGTCGACGTTCGAAGCAACAGCAGAAGTGACGGAGAGAGAGGCAAACAGACAGACAGATGCCCGGCGCGCAGATCATAGGTAGCCAGCCACGGTGCGCTATATATATATATATATATATATATATATATATATATGACTACGTTATTTTTGTGTGTTAAGCACGCATCCACTAACGCGGCAGCTACCGCGATGATGCGGACGACAAACACGGTTGTCTCGGAACACGTCTGCGAAGCTTGAGCAGAGAGCCCGTTAGTCAAAGAGGTTTGCTTGCAAAAACCGCCGGTGTTTTGTTGGTTACGTTTGACGAGGTAACAAAGAACAGCGATCGTAGCTTCCCGATTAGTAGATTTAAGAAAGCGCAATTGTCGGCGGCGAGCCGGCAGCTCTGTCAAAAACTCTTCTGTCGGCGACGACGTCACACAGCGACGGCGATAGTCCGGTCAGCGCGGGTCTGCTCTTCTAGCTCAGTCGAGTCGCGCATCGGGCCGCTCCGTTCGACGACCGCCAGGGGTCGCTGCTGCAGCGATAGGAAAGGAGGCACCGCCCACCCAACAAAGGGGGGCGGGGCTTCGGCGTATGCATTGTTCAGGAAAAACGTCGCTTGCCTGCTGCTGTTCGCCCGGACGTCGGCCGTCCGACCAACGGTGTCGGCTCTGTAGTGCAGAGATGAGTGGCCGTTGACGGGTTAGTGTGTGTATGTATGTGCGCATCTGTCTGTCTATCTACGTGCGTGTGTGTGTGTGTGTGTGTGTGTGTGTACACGCGTGCGTGCGTGCCTGCGTGGATGGTGCTGTGCCCCCCTCCCCCCCCTGCTCTCTATCTGTGACGATTTGCGCGTGTGTGTGTCCCAGCGAACCGAGAAGCAAACGAGGGAAAGGGTGATGACGGCCAAATATTGGTGTCGGGCTGGTGAGAGAGCAGTAGTATAGGGTAGGAAAACTGCGGCAAACTCATAGTGCAACATACGAAACCATAGTGCTGCTGCTGGCAGGGCAGTTAGCAGAAAGCCACATTGGATTTGGCTAGCGGCTGCACGGCGGGCAGGTAGTCAGGTCTTATGGCAGCTGCCTCGTTGAGATATGCTGCTGCTGTGCTGTGCAGCACTCCCTCCGTCGGAGCGGATGCAGTGGAAAGGGAGGGCTCCTAGGAAAGGGAAGAGGTTTGAATTTGGTTGAGTGGGGTACTGTCGGCGGCTGATAGCCAGGATGCCCAGCAGCGCTGCCGCCGCGCGCAAGCATGCGGGGGCGAAGGAGGGGCTACGCCGGGAGCAACCGACCAACATCGAGGGAAACATAGAAACTATAGGGCCACTAATACTATGGCTGGCCATCATTAACGCAGCGTTTCCTTTTGGTCTTCAACCAAGGGCTGCTGCTACTCCTAATGGAAGAGGCAGGGGCACACAGGGGTGGCAATGGCAACGAGAGCGGCAGCGGCACCACCACTGGTAGGGCATCGACGGTCGTGGCGCGGGGCACTACAACTACAATCACCATTGTCATACTGGATAGAATAGACTCGAGGAGGCGGAGCAAAACTTGGTGAAAGCTCTTGCCACAACGGAACCGACAAACGAACGACGACGATGGAGACAAGGGACAACCCCCCAGATAGCTACATGACACGAAGTGAGCAAGACCAAAAAATAAAGCCGAATGGGAATCAAGAACACCGTTAGTGATCCTTTTGCGAGCGCTGATTTTTTATAGAAGCAAAAAGGACCGCTGACGAAACAAGGACTTGGGCGGGACAAATGACATGGAGAAGCCCAGAAAAAGCCGCCGACCGGACATCAAAGCCTCAAGGAGGTCATTAAGGAAGAGACACAGTGTCATGTGTGAAAAGAGCTATGAAATAGAACACACAACATTGGGATGGCCGACAGGTGTTTTCGAGCTTAGTTCGATACTCGAGACATACGTAAAATAGTCAATGACCTACTGTCAAAGTTGCAGGAATTCTAGCAGTTGCTTGGATGAGCTTCGCTTGAGGCTCAAATCGGAGATGCTTAAACTGGGTCGGTGAAACGATCAACCTACCATGTTACCAAATGATTTTAGGGAGGTTGGAGCGAAGTAGACTGCTAAGCTCATTATTATTATAATTATAATACGACATGTTGATAATAAAAGAAGTTTCATCCAGACTTGCCATTGTTTTTACACGCTACTAACGTATGCAAAGAAGAACGAGCCTAGAACCACATGAATTAAATATGGAATTTAAAAATAGGAAATTAGATCATACAGCGTACGTATATTTTATGTATATGTAATCGTTCCTGATGTTAAGTTTTTCGATTTGTCGTTAATTTACCAAAAAGTTAATAGTAAGCAACCTTAATTACTTTGCAGCAGCGTCACCTATCGGGAGATTGCACAGCATCGAGCGAAAACATTAATAAGATTTGCCGTTGTAAATGAAGGAAAGGGTTCGTAGCCATTCTTGATACAACAAGAGCGCAGGAATAATTTTCTATGAAGCTCAAACACCGAAACGCATTTCATACAGACGCTGTCTATCGAACATGTCCAATCGTTCTATTTCGTGACATATGCCGTACGACGTTTTTGGCTGATATAACCAACAGCTTTATTCTAACAAATAATTAAGGCCGAATGGCCTAATCGAGCTTTGCATCTAAAAGGCGCATGTTAAAAATAGAATTTTTTTAAAAAACAGTTTCTATTTACAGGTAGAAAGATATTAGTAGGTATAGGTACATATACGAAGCGTAAAACCGCTTAGATAAATGAAAACGTTAGCTATGCTAGCAGTATGTAGATGCGTACGATCACTGAAAGCAACGTTTGCATCGTCTGTATTTGACTACCGTATAAATCAATGTGGCGAACAGTTCGAAGTTCCAAATTATTGCCAAATTCATCAATAGTAATGGCGGCAATTTTTTTAGAGAATTCGCAAGTTCGATTGGAGCAGAAGTCTTATTCAGTAAATACTCTAGACTGCGTTCATTATATTTTATTATCTAGACTGTGTGCATATGGACTCTAGTTAATTTTGCAACGTTAAAAGATTCAGTTAAAAACTTGAAAGTAGCAAAGGCTAACCCGACACACTACTTTCTTGCGATAGCTGTAAATCCGTTTGTATCCATGGTAACTTACTTGAATCTTTAACTCGGTCGTGTTTTTTTTTTTTTTTATCGGAAACTAAACAAATCGTCTTGGGACGCACTACGGCAGTTATACGAAATATTTGACATAGGCTGAACCCTTCAACGTTCCCCCCCAGTTTATACGCTTGATATTATATGCATTTATAAAGAAGCTAGTTATTTTTTTTAAATTATTGCCTCGCTTTCGATTGGAAGCAATAATACGCGAGACAAACAGGACTAATAATACAAGCTTAAGCTTTGAGCGTAACTCACATGACACTAGCGCGTACATACATGGCAAGATGGCGCTATCAACGAGCCCACACATTCGCTCATGCCTTTTCTTTTCTTCTCTCTACCAAGGTACAAACAAAAACGTGGCTGAGATCCATTACCTTATTGCTGTTCTCGAACTCTAGTAATTAATGGAAAGATAATCAATCGATAACCTCAATCCAAAAGGATACACAGATCAACTGAGGTCCTGCCAGTGTCATCACAATCGTTGCCATCATCATAGAATAATTGCTGTTTTCTAATTTGCGTGCAACAACCATTCATATATAAACATGATCTTCTCTCTCTGAATCTTCATGATATTTTTGTCAGTGTGGCACCACGGGACTCAATTGACGCTGGTCTAATTGCAAATAATCAGACGGAACAACAATATATCATACACGCTACAAGATTCTGTTTATTTAGCGCTGTACAATAGGCCATACACTCTCCGCTCGTTTAAGTGAAGATTTTCAGCTTCGAAGTAAAAGTGGCAGCAGGAGCATCTTTCATGAGGATGATACAGAAATGGTTCGTTTCAAACACGCAGTACAGAACGTAGCGCCACCTGGAGGGGGTCTAGAAAGATTTCCTATGTCTCAGAGCCAAGGGTTTCGCGCAACCACCGGGGGCGCCAGAGGTCATGCCCCCGGGAGTTCAGGCAATATCACTGAAATAGTATCGTAGCGCTCAGCCATACAGTGGCGAAACCAGCATTATTTTTTTGCTGATTCTGTCTACAAATGACAAGCTTCATTCTAATAACGACTAAAACGACGATAAGAGTATCACCCAAGACCGAAATATACCAGACAAGAATATACTAACTATCAGATAGGGATCTTGCTCGCGGAAACGTTTATCCATGGTAGGGAGAGGATGGGAGAAAAGCCAGGGGGGCGTGTATATATAGATTTATATAAGTGGAGGTTGCATGGCTATGAGGTCGAATGTGCACACGGCTTTGCACAGAGAGACTTGAGGGTCGGACGTTCTAAGTCGTTTCAGGCCGCATTAACTGAGTACGGGTTTTAGTCATGAAGTACCTTGTAAGTTCGGCAGCAACAGTTTAATTAATTTAATTCTAGTACCCATATACACTGTTGCTCTGAATCCGTCAGAGGTACAACACCTCACACGTAAATACTCCATCAGTAAAGAAAATACAAATGTTCTAGCATATTGTTTCTTGCTATAGTATTATAGAGATGACGATGACAAGCGGGTGTTCTGCGTCAAGGATGCAAGAAGATAAAGGAACAGAAACGATCGTAGGCGTAGAAGATCGATGAATGAAATTGATTAGTTGGTAACCCAGTTACTTAGTTCACTTCCGGTGTCGGAGTCCGTTTTACTCGCGATTCGGGCGAGGGTTATATGGCCAGATCGATAATTAGCCTGCTTGCCTCTATACATATGTGTATACATGCAGGATACTGGCAGTTGTGTATTGTTGCTTTCTCGCCACGCTTGAACGTACGTATGTAGCGAATTTGCGAGGAGCTACGTCATGCTCGCTGGTCTGTAAGCACGTTTGATTTATTCTACCCAAAAAGTAAGTCTCTCTTGTGCACGCTCACAAAGCTATAACCGTTTCGTCTTCTGCTGCCTGTCGTAGTTGAAGTACACACGAGACA